ATTCAGCATGTTGAGATAGTGTAGTGGGTTAATTGTAGGATCCTCCCCAGAAAGGGTTGAAGGTTCGACTCCCACAGGCGAATTTTCATTTTTTTGACTTCTTCCCTAACCAAAAAATTTTCTAAAAAAATTTCTAACAGCTTAAAATATTTCTAATATTTTAAAAAGGTGGCCGGTCATTTTTCGAAGCGTTTGAACTGGCCTGTCCTATGCGGAAACGAAAAAAGCGGCACACAATATTTGGGATAAGTACACGATTTGAAAAACCAAAAAATAATTTAAAAATAAAGGAAGACTATTTTGATGATCTAGAAGAGGAAGACTTACAAGAAAATCAACAAGAAGACCAAAATAAATTAAAATATAGACCAGCAAATATTAGTGAAATTATGCGAATATGTTGTGTTAATGGATGTGAATTTACCGACTTTTTTCCACATTGTGGTCCTTTTTCGACATGGTGATATTGAGAGAGAGAAAAAGCTTTTTTTTTGGTTATTTTTAATGGATTTTTCTAGTCAATTAAATACGCTCTTATTTATCTTATTCGAGTCAGAACTAATTTATTATCTTGAGGATAATTGAGATTAGGGTTGCCAAAATGGACCGGCTCGGACCGAAAGATCGAGTCAGACCCAGGCTAGAAAAAGACTCGTACGGCCCGACTCGATAAATTAAGCCCGAAAGTGACTCATACAGGCACGACTCGATAAAAACAATCTCGAAAAGAATGCCTCAACCGTCAGCCCGATTCGAAACTGGCAACTATAATTAAGATAAAGTCTCTACCCTGTCCCAAAAAAATTAAAAAAAAAGAGTTCTACTGTTCTGGGTTTGGAACCGGTAAAGTAACAAGAGGAAGCAGCCTGAAAAAATCCAAAGAAAAAAAGATAATTTTTGAGCGTATTTGTTCTTTTTTTTTTCTTCATGTTAATGACTCTAAAACGGATAAACAAATTTTTAGTGAAAATATAAAAAATATTTTTTCTCAAAGCAGACCCTACGAGAAGATTGAAAAATAGAAGCACATGTGGTTCTATTAGAAAAACCAAAACTAGACTCCCATCCACCTTCACAAAAAAGACATTTTTAAAACATTTTTAACAAAACGACATAACAGAAAAACAAGTTTTTTTAACAATTTCTCGAACCTTATTTCTTTTCAAAACATTTTTTAATTTAAATTTAAACCTCTCTTCCTTGTCTTCTTAAACACTTTCCTGAACTGGAGGTTCATAAGCATCTGGACGACTTTCAATAACTTCACCACTTGCCGTAGTTATAGCAACTTGACCACCACCACCAGCACCCTCTCCATGCATATCCAAAAGTTTTCCAAGTTCAAATTTTGGTTTTTTCAAAATTTTTACTTTTCGAATATAAACGTCTTGAAGTGGATAGAAATAAGAACAAGACTTTTCAATGTCTTTTCCAATAGAATCAGGAATTAATTTGCTAACAACTTCTTTAAGATCGCATGAAGAAACCTTTAAAAAAAATTTTTTTTTATTTTTAAAATTTTGACAAGGAAACATCGAATAATGTGTACATGGGCGCGTGTGGGTTTTTGAAGAGGAAAAGAATAGAGAAGCTTCTCGGTTGCCCTATAACCAGAGGTGGGTCGGAATTCCGACGTTTTTTACGAGTTCCGACTTTTGAGCCATTTCCGAACCTCTGACTGTTCCAACCCACCTCTGCCTAAAACTCAGGATTCTTCAACTTTGACTGGCCATAACTCGGCCTAAAGTCACCTTGCTGAAAAACCCGCATCACTTCTCAATAGAAATCGATGCTCCTCTATCGATTGGTACCAAAAAATTACCAAAATTTTGTACACCGTATCCGAATGTCCCTTGTGAGGTAAATTGTTTAAGTTTGGAGACTATTTTTATTGGGTTATAAATGAGACCACGTGGAAGGACAATTCGTCCCATGATGATGAAAAAGCACCGATTTTGAGGGGAAAAAGTAAAAAAAGTTCAAAAACCTCGCGATGAATAATCTCAACCATCCTAGCACGAATTTGACGCACTTGAGACGATTTAGCATAGCTAGTCTTCTTCACTTGATTCGGAGCTTTCTTTGTGAAGCCAATACAGAACAATCGAAGCAGATAACCATCAGTTGTTTTGACAGCAACATTTGCTTCAATCAAAGTCTAAACAAGTAAAAAGGTCAAATTGCTAAGATTAAGCCACATACATGCCACTTTTTGACAATAGAACAAAGCTTGTCTCGAGTAAAAGTCATTCCATGGAAATTGGTCAAACAAACTTTGCCTTGAACCTCTTCACAAATAAGTCGAAATTTGCGAAAGTCAGCTTCGGTGTTGTTCAAATCACCAAGAGAAACTTCATAAACGCGGCCCTTGAGGAATTCGCTCGAAATTTCTAAAAAAAATTAATGGTGAGAAAAAGAATGGGTATTTTAAAAAAGTTGAGGTAAAACAGCGAATTAAAAGTCAATGGACGGGATCGAAATCTTAATAGTAAGTCTGGGCCGGTATGACCATTTCGTACGTCCTTGTGATAAGTAAAAACTTGACTGGGGGTGGGAAAATAAATATGAGTACTTACTGGACCAGAAGTCCTAAAACCCCAAACTTGGAAAACCAAAGGTTAATGTTAAATCCAAGAAGCTTTAAAGATCTTCAAAATCTGAACTTTTGTAACAGAAACACATTGGAACCAGTGTGAGCTCTACTAAACTAAAGGCATACCCAGGGTTTGAACCAAAATGTTTCTGAGGAATTGAGAAATACAAAAACCTCCAAAAATGCTTGGATGAATACAAAAAACACAAGGCTCTAACAATAAGCTGAACTCAGGCTGAGATCTAATGAACTGAAGGAATACCCCAGGATTCGGATCAAAAAATTTCTGAAGGATTAGACTCCACAATCCCCACAATCCATTAAAAACACAAAAAAATACTTGTTCCAACAGTCTTATTAACCAGAGTCTTTCCAACATAACGATTTGCAAACATAGCAGGAGCCTTGATGTCATACCAATCTTTGCGTGTGAAAGGATCTACAGCCTTCTTCTTAGCTCCCTTTTTGCCCATCTTCTTATTCTTTCCAACTGCCATTTTTTAGAAATAGACTTGGATTTGTGTTTAACTTAGAAAATCTGAAATAGAAAATTGGTTAAATTTGGCGAGTACACCCAAAGGCACCGCGAGCCCAACATACTGCAGAGCTATGAATTTGTTCAAAATGGACGAATCCGAGACGCCCTGATATGGTTTGATTCAGCTCGTCGAGATTGAACCATCCCAAGGCGTCCCGGATTCGACTATTTTGAACGAAGTTATAGAGCTGCGGTACGTTGGCCTGCTCCTAAATTCAAGTTCGTTCCCCCCTCTTTTTCCTTCCTTTAGTATATGTGTCAGTCTTTCTTCCTCAATTCTAGAGATCTGTCTGGATCTGGATCCAGTCTGGATTTTTTCTGGATCCAGAATCCTGTCCAGCTTACTAACCTAAATCCAGGATTTTTCAAAATACCGATCTCTCCTCTTTTCCATTCTACCATTGTGTACAAATTAAGGAAGGGAAAAGAAGGGGGATCGAACTTGAATTTTAACAAAGTTAACTCTTTTGTAAAAAATCAAGAAAAAATCTTTGACAGCAAAAATCTGGAAAAATCGAAAAAATGTAGAAATCGTTTCGAAAAATTTTTAGTGACAGAATGCCAAATTAATTATTTTTTGAATTTTGACTATCGATTCCTCTCAAATTTATTTTTTTCCTGTCAGTTTTTGCGTTTTTTTTCTCGAATTTTTTTTGTTCTTTTTTGTTTTAGTTTTTGTTTAATCCCTTAAAATGCTACTTGCGCTAGTTATCCCAAACCAGTATTTGCGGACATTTATGCGGACATTTTTGTAAGGAAGATCGCCTTCCTATCTCGATTTCACTCAATTTTCCCTGTGGCATGTTTCAGGAGTCTTCTTTGGTGGATGTCACTCTTAAACTTGCCACAGTGAAAATTGAGGAGGAATCGAGGAAGGAAGAAAGACTTACCTTTTTGTACAAAAAAAGTCCGCAAAAAATGTCCGCAAATACTGGTTTGGGAAGTCTCACAAGTACCCTTAAAATTTCGATTTTTTGAAGTTTTTCAGGTTTTACAATGACAGAAAATAACGAAAATTTTGACGACAAAAAGGATGCCAAAACCGACACTTCAACAGCTTTATTTGATTCGTCTTCTTCAGAGCAACAACAACCACAAATGACTTACAGTCGTGAAGAAATGCTTGCTTTGAGAGACGCGAGGTTGAGCAGAATTAGACCGCCTGAACTTTCACGAGATTTCGACAGGTTTTTCTTTTTTGGGTTTTACAGTAGGGACGGGCAGGGTTTATCCGGAACCCGAAGCTTGAGCTTTGAAACAGACAATTTTTCGAATCAGAAAGCTGATGATTCTACCCGAAGCTGGTATCCTATCCAAGAATTTTTCGAAAATCCGACTCGAAATCCTTTCCGACTTATCTCGTCTCATCCGTGTTAATGAGTCAGACCTCGCTATAAAATGAACCCTAGGAGTAGGAACATGCTTATAATTGTCCTGTCTTAAATTGTGGGTATCGCTAGACGTCTTACATGACCCAAACATTTCAGCACCCAAAGGCTGGTCAGCTTTCTTCTGAAAAAATTAGTGTTTCACCGGAACCGAAATTTTGACCGGAACCGGATCCAATTCGAGTTCCGGTTCCCTGAATTGGAACCAAAAAAACACCGGAAGTTTCCGGAACCGGAACTTCCGGTGAAACTCTAGAAAAAACGTATCTTAAATGGGGGTATCTTTGGGATCTCTTGTAGCTAACAATAAGCCTGTGACTCTAAAAAATATTTTTTATTTAGTGATAAGGGACTCTTCTCTCCTGATAAGTGGGTGCAATATAAATGGCAATGTGAAGGTGTTGAACCTCGTGGAAGGCGTCGAAATAATAATAATAATTCTGTGCCGGTTACGGGCAGTAATGCTTTGCCGTTGGCTGCAATGTCAGCTGGGGCAAATCCAAAGACTTTGAGTTCAATATTGGAGTCTACTATAGCTGCAACTAAAAATGATGATTTTTTGGACAATCACCACACTTTGTTGTCACCACAGAGACGGGGATTCTCTTCTGGATGTAAAGCGGCATCTCCGCCAAAGTCGGGTAAGGAATTTTATTGAGGGGATTTTTTGGTCTATTTTTTATTGTCAAGCTATTTCCTTGGATTCTCAGGGAGAATTTTTTGGGAGGGAGTTTTCTCATTTCCTCCCTTCAATTAGTCTTTCTAAATTGTTTCACCTTTATTATTTTTGAAAAGACTGTTAGACTCGAAAAGTGGTGATTTTGACTTACATGTATTATCTTTGCTATTTTTTATTTTTACAAAATTGGTCCCCTTTTGTTTTATTTCCCAAAATAAGACAACACAAACAGTAATATTGAACCGGACAGACCCTTTTTTCCTCCCCAATCCCCCCTCATATTTTTGAAAAATGGTTAGACTTTTTCCTTTCTTCCATCTAAATTGTCCGATTCAATATTAATACCACACAAACTTGGAAACTTCCCTTAAAAAATTTCCTTAGCCTTTTAAAAATTTATTTAAAATTTTCATTTTTTAGCCGACAAATCTCATCATCAACAACCATCTTCTAGCCGTTCCCGTTGGCAAATTAAAAATAATGGAATTGACTTTAAACCTGCTTTTGTTTGTTTTTTTTCTTTAAAATTAAAATAAAAAAAATTTTTTAGCAAAAGAATGCTCTTGAAGCAAATTCTCGTTCAAGCCGTTCAAGTCAAAACAATACGGTTAGTAGTGGTAAAGAAGTGGGACATTCAACTTCTTGGAATACTAGTGGACATTCTAAACAAGGAGATAAGGTTGTTAAGGTTACATTTTTTTGTTTTTGTCTTTGACATAAAATCTGAGTTTTGGTTCTGGTCAGATTCTATGACAGCGCGGTTTAAGAGTGTTGTCATTTCTAATCGAACCGAAGAACCTAGGAGTTTTTTTGTTCAGGGCAGAATATCCGAAAATATCTGATCGAACCAACAATTATTTAATGGTTTTTCTCTATAGCCGGTTTTTGGGGTTGGAAGGATTTAGCATGATTACTATTACTTACCCGACCCTTTTTCCTACCTGAATATGCATAGAACAAACAATTTAAAATTTATTATTTTTAAGGGTCGTCGCTTTGGTGATAGAGAATTTAGTGAAAGAGAACGTACGCGTAGCTCAAACACAGAATCTGAACAGGTTCCAGAATGGATGAATGCTGGGCCAACTTCTGTTTTTGATGTGATTGAATTGAAAGGATTTGATGATGATGAAGAACAACAAGAACAGCCAGCAGCTGAAAAAAGTATTTTTTTGAATATTATGGGGACAGGTCGTGAGGTTTCAACTGGTTCCCTTTTTTGATTTTTAGGTCTAGGAAAAAAATTAATCAGAGCAAGCAGGCCCGTAGCCAGGATTTTTTTTCGGGGGGGGGGGGGGGGGGGGAATTTTTTGCGCCAAATTTTTGGCGCCGAAGGCGCCAAAAATTTTTATTTTCAGCGCCGCAGGCGAAAATTTTTTGAATTTTAGAAGGTCGTAGGCCAAAAAATTCACTCTTTCGGCGCCGCAGACGCCAAAATTTTGATTTTCAGCGCCGCAGGCAAAAATTTTTTGGATTTTGGACCTTAAGAAGCCAGATTTCTTCCTTTTTTAGCGCCGCAGGCGAAAATTTTTTAAATTTCAGAGGCCGTAGGCCGAAAAAATTCACTTTTTTTGCCCCAGCCCTTCCCCAAATTTTTTCTTTTTCCCATTTCGGGGGGGGGGGGGGAATTCCCCCCCTCACCCCCCCCCTGGCTACGGGCCTGAGAGCAAGATTATCCTTACATAAGATCACGTTCCTAAATTGACCACTGGGTGTGTGGAGGGCAATTCGGGGGGGGGGGCTGTCCAAACGATCTGCCTAACCGACAGATCCCACTCAAAGTTAGATTCCACTTATTTCTTAGCTCAAAGGATTTTTTATAAATGTCATTCAGAAAAAAATTCTTTTCTTCTTTTTTTAAGAAAGAAAACGTTCCAAAGGAAGAAAAGATTCAAATAATGGTAATAATCATCTTAAAGCCAGTTCTGAAACTTATACAGGCCCAACAACACAAAAATCATCTTCAACATCATCTCGTCAAAAAAGGCATTCTAGTGGAGATTGTGCACCAAACAATAATAATAAAAATAATTCACGTCCGTCTTCTCGCAATAAAACACCTCAAAGGACTGATAGTTCGTTTAGTAAACAATCTTCGCATTCTCCTGTTAGGGTTATACAGGTTTCTTTAAATTTTTTTTGAATGAAAAAATAAAATTGGTGGTGTTGGAATAATCAGAGTATCGGATTTATTTTAATAGAACCACAGTCTCTGTTAGAACCACATCAAATGGAGGCAGCCCCGTAGCCAGGATTTTTTTCGTGTGGGAGGCCAAGGGGGAAAAATTTCTTTGCGATGAATTTTTGGCGCCCCTCCCCTGGCTACAGGCCCGAGTTGAGAGGTTGAAAATAGAACCATATGTGGTACTATTAGAATAAATAGTGTATTTTAGGGGTTGTGAAATTATAATTGACTTTGAGTGTTACATTTAAAATTTTTTTAGAGAGTATAATTTCTTCGTATTCGTTTATATTTGTCGGAAATTGGGAGTTTCTCACAGTTATTTTTCTTGTGGACTTTGGGTTCTTCTTTTTTGAATATTCATGAGCCGTTTTTAGGAAAAATTCGTATCTTTAAATGTTTCGGCGCTATCTTAATATAATGCGGCAATCAAATTTTTTCCTTCATTTTTTCCTTTCCATATTTTTCCTTATTTTGTACAGAAAGGTCAGACTTTTACCCTCGTTCACTTCAAATGAATTTTCCTGTGGCATCTTCAAATGTAATTATAGGGAAAAGATTAAAAGCAAAAAATAAGAAATATTACATTTTTGTGTTGTCTGGCAGAAAACACGGACAGACAAAACACGGACGAAGACGGACAGACAAAACACGGACGGACGACACGGACGGTCACAGACAGACAAAACACGGACGGTCCTTGTTTTGTCTGTCCGAGTCCGTCCGTGTTCTGTCTGACGTGTTCGGTCGTGTTTTCTGTCCGAGTCAGTCCTTGTTTTGTCTGTCTGTCTTCGTCCGTGTTGGAAAGGAAAAAAAATGAAAGGAAAAAATTGAATATGGAAAGGAAAAAATGAAGGAAAAAATTTGATTGCCGCATTATATTAAGATAGCGCCAATGTTTCTATAGATTGGGTTTCGTGTTGAAAAAATGTTCAGGCCTCGAGTATTGGATAACCCTAGCCCATTCCTGATTTACTCGAATCGTTTATTCCCCTAGAAATTTGGTTTGCTTGGTTTTTGAGGTCAGGCTTTGGTTTGAACAGGAATAAAATATTTTAATAATAGGGGCAGAGGGGTGGTTTCACAAATGATGAAAAATGTAAAAAAATTCCTTCTTTAAAACCTTACTTTAAAAAATTTATTTTTTTTGTAGGCAGCAGATTTGGAATTATCAATACTTCGAGAACATCAAGAAAAACTTGAAAAAGAAAAGAAGTCTTCATCAACAACAAAAATTGAAGATTTATCCACAACTTTTGATTTATTTGCAGCTTTGGGTATACAACCACCTAAAGAGAAAGGGTCGGGTGAAAAAGGAAATGAAAATAAATTACCAAATTCTGATGCTGAATTTGCTGCTTGTATTCTTGGTTTGCCTATTGATCAAATTGCTAAAATTATGCCTAATGTAAGTTTGCTGAAAATAATTTTTTTTTAGTAAAAATGGGTGGGAGTAAAAAATTTTTTTTTGGAAATAAGTTGGACAAATAAATAGTCAAATTTCGAATGGCCAAAAAAATTTTTTTTTGTGTTAAAATTATTTTCAAAATTTTGTTTGTTACTGGGGGTGGGGATGAGATTTGAGGATACCAAAAATTTTCTTTGGTCAGTCCATCTAAATCAGGTCGGATAGACATTTTAAATTCGGACAGGATTTCCCAACGTGATTTAGATTGACGAACCCAAGAAAATTTTTTCGGTATTCTCAATTAAAATCTCAAAATCACAGGCTTAAAAACTTACGATTAGAAACCTGGGGTTATCCCTAAAGTGTATATGAAGCCCCAGACATATCGGGCTATTTCAATTTATAAATAAACAGCTACTCTACTGGTTTCACAAACTTTTGACACTGGGTCTTGAATAGTACATTGCCCTAGAATATAGTTTTTATGCTTTAATACAAACATAAACACTGGAAAAGATTTTCTAAGTCAGGATCGTTTAATTAAAAATTTTTTAAAGGTTATCCCATCAATAAATAATAATAATGATTCAATACAACAAAAGCATCAACAGCAGCAACATCAACAACAAACATTAGGAGATCATCAACCAACTACAAGTCGTTTACTTCGTTGGCAACAAAAAGCAACTTTTACAACAACAAATTTAAATACTGCTGCAATATCAGAAAATAATTTAAATAAAATTGGAGGAGGAGGGGGAGGAGATGAAGAATTGAAAAGTTTAATAAGAAAGGATTTGATGATGAATAATGAAGAATCTACTACTAGTAAAATGAACAAACGTTTGTTATTTTTTTTTTGTATTTTTTGGGAGGATTTTTTAAGGTTTTTTAGGTGGAGAATATACGAGGCATCCCTCGAAGGCTTTTTGTGGGGGGGGGGGTGTGTCTTAGGGGGAATATAGGAGCTATTTTTTACAAATTAGAGGCTTTTTCTGGGGCTTATCATACAACGAATGACATTGATTGTGAATCATGTTAACATCATTGCTTTTTTGTCATTAAATTTGTCGGACATGGATATCCGTATCCGAAAAGGCAGGATATTTGGAAATTTTTTGGGTCGGATATCAGACCCGGATATCTGAAGATTTTTCCAACTATCCGACAACCCTATTTGGCATTAACATGATCGCATTTTGTAGAGGATCGGACTTCCCCTACCCTACCCATAATATTTATCTGTTTTCTCATTACTTTCTTTAATTTTTTGGAGGATTTTTAAGCTTTTTAAGGGTTCCGGTCCGAAAGATCGAGTCGGGCATCGAATTTTGGCCAGAAAAAGACTCGGTCGGTTTGGTCCGAAAAAATGACTCGAACTACGGCCCAACTCGAAAACGGCAATTCAATTAAAAATGTTCCAGAATCCTGAATGTCAGCATATTTTGCTATTCTAAAAGATTTTAAAATTTTTCTTTTTCTAGATTTGTTGTCTCTTCGAGCAGCACAATTTGTTCCACAACAACCTTTTGTTTTCAATCCCAGAAATTCATCTTCATCACCAGCTCCATCTTTTCAACATCAACAACATCAACAACCTTCACCAATTTTATCTCAACAACATCAACAACAACAACGTCCAGCTAGTGCAGAATATTCTTCTCGTCTTTTTGCTTCATCATTTCCATATCCAATAATTGATCAACATTGTAGTCCACCACCTCAACTTACTCAATTATTTAATTCTTCGGGAGCTGCTACATTTGGTGGAGGTGGGGGAGGAGGAGGACCACCTTCCTTTGGAGGAGGAGGACCGCATTTTGGAAGTGGAGGAATTAATCCTTTTGGAAGCGGTCAATTTCCTGGTGGAATGGGAGGAAATCAATACAACAATCAACAGCAACATCTTGGAGGTCCTCATCATCTTAACAACAATTTTGGACCGCCTATACCTCCATATGTTCCAAATATGCCTTTTACACCACCTTCACATCAACAACAATTTTATCCTCCGTTTGGTGTGCCGACGGTTGGAGGAGGACCAGGGGGTCCAGGATTTGGAGGAGGAATGGGAGGTGCTGCTAGTGGTGGAGGTGGAAGTTTAACTTCAAACAATTCTTCTGCTCTTTTACAAAAAATGTTTGCTGAAGCAAAACGTAATGAATTTATGCAATCTCAATCTGGTGGAAGAGCTATGATGGTAAGAAGGAAAAAATTTTTTTCTTGAGGCAAAACGGGAAAATATAATTTTGGCACTAGTATAGGGCATGGGTCCAATCAACTTTTATGCATCCCAAGATCGTATAAGCGTCCCACCAGAGTTAAGTGTTTCGAAAATTAGTCTGAGCTCATTGAATGTATCTCAATCCGCTGGAAGGGCTTATGGGAAGCTTATAGAGAGTCCGAGACCGAAAATTTTCCAAGACCAAGACTACACCTCAAGACTTAAGACTACATCCCAAAACCAAGACCGAAAAAATCCCAAGAAAAGTCTTACAAGGAACCATATCGAACTGTCAGGAAAAATTTTCAAATAAAAATTATACCATCGTGTAGAGCATTGAAAAAAACTTCATACGTATTTTTTCTTTTTTGGCCCTAACCCCCATTTCGAAAAGTTATAGGGCTTCAAAGTTTTCAAATTTTGGAGTGGTTGAGTCGCCCACATAAAGAAAATTTTTCTTTTATTAAGGAGAAAAATAAGACTCCCATCTTCCTTTTCTCCTTTCCTTTTCTTTTCCCATGTTTGTTAAAGAAAGAGAAAAGGAGGAGAGAGAAAAGAAAAGGAAAAGGCTACTCGTGCCCGCTCAAAGGATAGATGAATCAAAGGATAGATACGGCTAAAATCGATCAAAGGATAGACGCGGCCAAAAGCTGCTAAAGGATAGATAAGGCAAAAAACGATTAAAGGATAGATGCATCAAAGGATAGATGCGCCAAAGGATAGATAGGGGTAAAATCCATTAAAGTATAGACACGTCTAAAATTGGGTAAAACATAGATAAAGTTTGGAGTCCAGTTGAGTACCAACTGTTGAGTGCCTGGTCTTTGTTTGTTTTTTTCTGATCTTTGTTCTGATTTCATGTTTCTGTTCTGATTTTTATTTTAGTATATTCGCGGAAAAAAGTTTTTGCCGCTGCGGAGGAAGCCGGGCATGTCGAGCGGAACGACGGCCGCTGCTTCGCTACGGTCGCCGCGAGCGAGCGAGCACGACCGCAGCGAAGCACGGCCATCGTGTAACGAAGACCATGCCCGGCCTACCCTCCGTAGCAGCACAAAAACCGTTTTTCCAGCGAAGATTCAGATTTTTAAACATTTTTGTCCAGACTCAAACGACCTATTCAGCTGTCTATCCTTTGATTGCTTTTGGCCGTATCTATCCTTTAGCGCATCTATCCTTTGATGCATCTATCCTTTGATAGTTTTTGGTCGTATCTATCCTTTAGTGCATCTATCTTTTAATTCATCTATCCTTTGTAGGGGAGCCAGGCTACTCTGTCGTCTCCTCTTTCGTTTTTAATCCGCAATGGAAGAAAGGCAGAGTAGCCTTTTCCTTTCTTTTCTCATTCCTCCTTTTCTCTTTCTTTAACAGACATGTGAAAAGAAAAGGAAAGGAAAAATTGAGAAGAGGAGTCTCATTTCTCTCCTTGGGAAGCAAATAATAAGAAAAGTGAGGGCGACTCAACCGCTCCAAAATTCGAAAACTTTGAAGCCCTATAACTTTTCGAAATTGGGGTTAGGGCCAAAAAAGAAAAAATACGTATGAAGTTTTTTTCAATGCTCTACACGATGGTATAATTTTTATTTGAAAATTTTTCCTGACAGTTCGATATGGTTCCTTGTTAGAATCAAGACTCAAGACCACGAGTCTTGGAATGGCATGCATGTCCTAAACTAGAGCTATAATTTTTGTTTTTTTCACAGATTGGTGGTCCATCTCAACATCATCTCAATAACAATTTTGCTCCCCAATTACCTCCGTTTGCTCCAACAATGCCGTTTACACCACCAACACATCATCAACAACCATTTTATCCTCCATTCGGGGTTTCTGGGGGCGGCGGAGGACTTGGAGGAGGACCAGGATTAAATAATCCAAATATTCCTCCATATCATCCAAATCGTCAACAATCACCTTATCATTTAATGAATTTTCCTCCACCACTTGTAAATACTCAACAGCAGCAACCGCAACAACAACAAAAAACGGTAACAACAACAACACATCATCAAAATTTGCTCAATTCACCTGCCTTTATGCCAACATCGGTAAAATTAATAATATTCAAAATTGGTTTTAGCTATCAGGCTTGACTAGCGAATTTTGAACTTGACATTATTAAAATGTACTGTCTTGTTTCTGGGTCCGGGAAAAATTGAAGTCTTGATCCACGCTCAAATTTTATGAATATTAGAGAAAAGCGTGCCGAGAATGGCTTAGGACAAAGGGGGTAGCGAATGGCATGCTTGTTCCCAGACCTTGCAAAGAGAAGGAGAGAGGGGTATAATGTACTTCTCCAGAACTTTCAAGAGAATGAGGGCCCTAATTTATGATAAAAATTTTTTTCTAAAGGTAATTCGACAAATGTCAAAAATGCCTGGAGGTGGTAGTTCTGTTAATAGCGGTGGAGATTCAGCTAGTGGAGTAGGCGGAGGTGTTGCTGTAACTGTTGGAGGAGGTGGAGGAGGAGGAACAAGCAGCAATATTTTTGCTGCTTCTGGAGGTAGTGGGGGTGGTGGTTTAACTTCAAACAATTCTTCTGCTCTTTTACAAAAAATGTTTGCTGAAGCAAAACGTAATGAATTGATACAATCTCAATCATCATCTGGAAGAGCTATTTTGGTAAGTTTAAAGAAAAAAAAATTTTTTTGATGAGAGAGGATGGAATAATTCGGGTTTACGATTATATAGTTTATCAACAAGAATCTGATATTTTAAAATATAAAATGCCCAAAATTTTTGGGGGTAAAAAAATTTTTTTAAAGGGAGGTTTAGGATTATTGATGACGGGTATACTGGTCCGATATCCCCGACTTTTGGTTATTGCGGTTTTAAATCCCCGACTTTTCGGTTCAGATCTGGTTAACCGTCCGCCAACAATACTTATATAAATCTGCTAGTTTGGGGTGTTCCCTGACGCGGGAGAGGAGGGAGTCTCAAATTCCTCGACTTTCGGGGACGGAGCACAACTCTATAGGCAAGTCTCTTAATTTTCTAACAAAATTTTTTAAATTATTTTTACAAAAATTTTTTTTTCTTAATATAAAGGGACGTGATCCATATTTGGATGTTGGAATTTTGACAACAACAACAGGTCAAGAAGCTCAAGGTAGTATTAATATTACGACGACGACGACAACAAACCCATCATAAACATTAAATATATTTTAATTATTATTTTATTTTTTTTCTTCTTCTTGCTTTTATTATTATTATTTAATTATTTTTTTTGTTTTTTCTCCCTTTTAAAAAATCTTATTTAAAAAAATTTTTGATGAGAAAATTTGAAGTCGTCAAAAAAATTTATTATTAAAATTGTGATTGTCCACATACGGGACACGCCCCCAAATAGGCGCGCGGCAAAGTAGGCGCGCAAGGCTTTTATCCCCCTCTCATCTTCAAAACTTGCTGGAAAATTTCTGGACTAAATTTTGAAAAATTCGGAAATCTTGTAGCTTGACTTTGCGCCTACTTGGCCGCGCGCTATTTGGGCCGAACCCTCTCCACATATTTTACTGGCTTTTTTCTCTCTATTATTATTATATTGTTTTTGTGTGTTTTAAAAAATGAAAAATTTTATTATTTCCTTCATCACCCCTCATTTTCAATCCCCCTCAACTTCAATAAACACCTCTCTCTCTTCTAGGGATGGCGGATCCTGGGAAACCTCTGGATATCCATAGCTTTTTTCTTTTGATCTGAAAATTTTGGGATATCCCGGGCATTTTTCGGATCCTGGGATATCTCCGGACAATACGTGGGCGAAACATGTTTTCGTTTGGTTAACGAGAAATAATATTTTAAAAATCTCGTTTCGGTTGATCCGAAAAAAGTTTTTTTTTGAGTTTCGCCCATATCTCCTCTGTTACAGATCCGTCAACCTTTTATTATTTATACTTCTTTCTCGTCCTCCTATTATTATTTTTTTTTTGTTCACATTTGAAAATATATTCTAGTAAAGTACCGTTAAAATAGATTTTAGAAATTTTTTCTTTTATATTAAAAATTTTGATTTTTGGGTAAAAAAATTGGAGAAAAATATAAAAAAAAATTTTTTTTTTGTTGCACATATTTTAAAATAATATTGAAATAAAAATATTTCACATTTGTAGATTCAGAATTAAAAAAATATTTTTGACAAGAATATTGGGGGAAATTAAAAGAATTTTTCAAAATTTTTTAATTATTTATTTCGCTACTATCCCCTCCAAGACTGTCAATATCAGCATTTAATGTTGAGGGGCTTTGTGCTGCCAATTCTGAAGATCCTGTATTCCGTCGAGATCGCATGCTTCCAGTACCACTGATTGATCGGGCATAATCAGAAATCTAAATTGTGTGTTATTCTGATTTTTAAGTTGAAGGTTCTGATTTGTTCTGGTTTTTAAAACTGATCTAAAGTTCTGATTTGTTCTGATTTCTAAAATTCTGATCTAAAATTCTGATATTAAATTCTTAAATTCTGACTTGTTCTGATTTTAAAATTCTGATTTTTAAAAAAATTCTGATTTGTTCTGATTTATAAAATTCTGATATAAAATTCTGATTTTTGTTCTCAATTTCCTGTTTCTCCTTAGTTCATAACCTACTTTAACATTTCCTCCACCGGGTACATGAGTTATATTGTCGAGTGAACCAACTTTAGAGTTTGCCTTTACTTTTACAGGTTCATTAAATATCTATCAAAAAAGATTAAATTAAAATTCCCTTTTGTTTAAATCAAATACTTTATTTTGCCCTCCCCCAGGTTGATGTCCAGCATTAATAAGTGACCCAACTTTTGCTTCAGCCTTCCAAACTAATTTTTCCGTTGGAATCTTTTTAATAAAAAATTATTATTATTAATTTCCTCTCTAAATTCTGATTTATTTTGATTTTAAAATTATGATTTTCAAAGATTCTGATCCGAAATTCTGGTATATTATGATTTCTGATTCTGGAAAATTCTGATTTTTAAAAATTCTGATCCGAAATTCTGGTCCATTCTGATTTCTGATTCTGAAAAATTCTGATTTAAAAAATTCTGATTTATTCTGGTTTTAAAATTCTGATTTTAAAAAATTCTGATTGATTCTGATTTTGAAAAATTCTGATACGAAATTCTGATCCTTTCTGATTCTGAAAAATTCTGATTTAAAAAATTCTGATTTTAAAAAATTCTGATTGATTCTGATTTTGAAAAATTCTGATACGAAATTCTGGTCCTTTCTGATTCTGAAAAATTCTGATTTAAAAAAATTCTGGTTTTAAAATTCTGGTTTATTAAAATTCTGATTTGTTCTGATTTTTAAAAATTCTGATTTTAAATTTATTAAACTCACCCTTTTTTCACTCTTCGGAATTATTATCTCCGATTTAGCATCAACTCTAGGCCTCGCAGTCTCTCGAAAATTCAATTTCCTCTGCAAAATGCGAACATTCCCTCCTAAGGGTGTATGGTCAGCATTAACCAGAGAACCAACTTTTGGGGATGCAACGACTTTTAGAGGTTCATGGAAGATTTTAACTTCGCTGGGAGTCGGGGAATGGTCCGTTATTGAATTTACTTTGCTAAAAAATTGGTAAAATTTTTCAGAAAAATTCTTGTTTTTACCTCTTTATGTGGGCATACCGCCTATTTATTATCCTTGGGGGCATACTCGGAGCGCGATTAATAGCAACACCGTTGGAAGCATTTCCAGTACCATTTTGCTTAGTTAAGGTTGAACTCCCTTAAAGATATATATTTTTAGTTAAAAAATTAATTTAAGAAAATCAGAATTTTTTTCAGAATCAGGGCTGTGCGGGGACGCGCGTGGAAAGCCTTCGGCTGTAAAAGGACGCTAAATTTGTTTTTTGCTTTGCGTTTTGGGGCCGCCAGCTCACTTTTTATTTTGCGTTTGAGGCCTTCGGCCCCAAAACCGATTACAAGGATACTGTGCCTTTAGGCGGCGTGGTTGCGGGGCGTTTGGGGACCTTGCGTCCAATGAACTTTTATGCGTCCAATCAAAAGAAAATGGATTTTTCTTGGCATTACAAAATAGAAGTAGGGTTCCAAAACATTTCTTCATGTTCTGGACCTACGCCTATTGGGTCTGGGACCGTTCCTTACCCCATTTCTCAAAATTTCTGAAGGTTATAATCGTTTTTCTGAGATTTTTAAAAATTGACTATAACTTTCAGAAATTTTGAGGGACCGGGTAAGGAACGGTCCCAGACTCAGTGGACGTAGATCCGACCATGAAGAAATGTTTTCGAACCATACCCCAACCTTGCAACACCAAGAAAAATAGAATTTTTTGTTTGATTGGACGCATAAAAGTTCATTGGACGCATAAACTAGACTAGACGCATAAACTAGAATATTTAATTTTAAAATTTTTAAAAAATTATAAATCAATATTTAATATACACGATTCAAAAAAGACGGCAATTTAAAAGACTGCTTTCCACATCCCCACTTCCCTTCTCCCCATCCCTTGCCTTCTCCCCATCCCTTGCCTTCTCCCCATCCCTTGCCTTCTCCCCATCCCTTCCCTTCTCCCCATCCCATCCCTTCCCTTCCCTCCTCCCCTCTCCATCCCCTTCCCTTCTCCCCTCATTCCCTTCCTTCCCCCTCCTCCCCATCCCCTCCCCTCCTGCCCACCCCATCCTCCCCATCCTATCCCATCCCATCCTCCCCATCCCATTCTCCCCATCCCATTCACCTCCCCTCATTCCCTTCATCATTATTTAGCCCCTCCATCATTTATTAATTTTTTAATTTAATTTTATTTTTTATTAAAAATGAATATTTTTTATTTAATTTTAATTTTAAATTCTCTCCAATATATTGGTGGGATGAGACGCTCAAGTAGTTTTTTTGATTTGTTAAACTTTATAATTGCAAAGCATATAGCTATTTAATTCATAAGGCTGTGCAGTAGGCGGCGTGGTGTAATGGACATCTGTCTGGTCTACTGAAGATGCTGGTTCGCTCCCAGCCGCCGAACAACCTCTTGCACTAGCTAAAGAAGAGAAATAGCTATAGCCAAGCTGCTTTACTGGTAGCACCGGAAGGTTCAGCGAACTGCTGAACGCATGACGATCCATCCTATAGGCCCTGGGTGTAGAAAGGAATTCTGCGAAAGAAGGCGATGATTAAGCTACCACGCAGAGGAGAGAAAAAGCGGGAAGAGGGCAGATAAGAAGACTAGGGACAGTCTTCCCTGGGGATGGAGGATTCCTAAGATAATTCCTAAGGCTGTGCAGTAGGCAGGGTATAATGGATAACAAATCAGTCAGGTCTAATGGGGACCTGACTGATTCGATTCTAAGATCGAGGTAGGTCGGTCTGACTCGAAAACGGGATTCTAAAATCGAGGTAGGGGTTTCTATTACCCGAGACCTGGTTAAGCTACCCCGCAGGGGTTGAGAAAAAGCGGGAAGAGGACAGATAAGAACCTGGTAAATTTACCAGGTTCTCCTTCCTTTATTAGAATACGGCCCCTGAAGATGCTGGATCGCTCCCAGCCGCCGAATAGACTTTTGCACTCGCTAAAGGATAGAAATAGCTATAGCCCCAGCTGCTTTATAATAATAATTAGGGTTGCCAGTCCGGTCCGGTCCGAAAGATCGAGTCGGTCATCGAATTTTGGCCCGAAAAAGACTCCGTTCTGGCCGGCCCGATAAAAATGACTCGAACGCCGGTCCGACTCGAAAACGGCAACCCTAATAATAATACATATATTTTTAAAGGAGGAAGAGGAGTTGTTGATCACCGTGTAGCAAATAGACAGAATTGCCCTCCGCCTCCACCGCCCGGTCAATCAACTACACCATTCTCAGAATTAAACTTTTCGCTAGTCGAATTGTCATTCATGATTGGAATGTTTAAACAAATAGATATTGAAACATTGGATATGGGAATGTTAGATATTCTCAATGGATATAAAATAGCAAAGTTAGATACTTTGAGAATTCAAGAAGAAACTGATCAATTTAAGTTGATAAATAGAATGTTTGATAAAATTGAAAAGGTAACTTAAGTAGCTTAACAAAAGTCCAAAGGGCTAAACCTTTGGAATTGGGATGGATCGATGCCAAAGGGGTTTTGGGTTGAGAGATTAATTGGTGAGGCGATCCACAGTCTTGCCAGCCCTGGGATTCGCGGTGGCTTTGGAAAGGCCTGGAAATATTAATGTGGTTGATGAACAGGTAGGGGCATCCTTCAGAGTGCCGGCTGGGGGATTTGGAGATTGAGTGGGGTTTTAAAAAATTTTTTGCGAAACGGGATCCCGCGGGATAAATCCCGCGGGATCCCGTCCCGCAAAACGAAAAAAATGCGGGATTGCGGGAGCGGTATCCCGCAAAATCACGCGCGGGATCCCGTCCCGCGCCGACCTCTAATATTTGAAATAATAAATTAAATGAGTTTGTCAATGGAAAGTTAAGTAAAAGGAGTGAAATGAGGATTTGGGAAGCATCGGGAATTTGGGGTTTTATCGGATGAACGCATTTGAACTTGTTCATATGTTGTTCATCCTTTGGTTATGTGAAAAGTCGGGGTCGGGACTTGGATAAATTTATGAGTCTCGAGTCCGGGGCTAACAGGCGATGTTTTGTCAGGACACCGTTTCCTAGTAACATGTTCAGAAACTGTGTGGTCCCTGCTCCAAAAATTATTTTAAATCATATGATTCAAGATTTTTAAAATTTATAAACAAAAAGGTTATCAACTTTTATGACAATTTATTGGATAAATTCCAACAAATAATAGCTTTTATAAAACATATAGAACAAAATGAACGAAATATTTTTATTTCTTGGCATTTATTTGGTTTTGTTAGAAATTTGATTCGTTCTTTTGTTTCGCAAAGCGGTCATTATAAAAGAATATTTCCTCAAAATATGTAGGTATTTTTTATTTAATTTACTTAAATTAAAATATCCGAATTCCAACATATATAGGTAGGGTTTCACAGGAAGTTCCGGTTCCGGGAAGCCGGCGTTTTTTGGTTACGGTTCCGGGAACCGGAACTCAAATTGGATTTGGTTCCGGAAAGTTTCGGCATTTTTTGGTTCCAGTCCCGTTCCGGTTCCGGGAACAGGGACTCTAATAAGATCCGGTTCCAGCATCCGGTTAAAATTTCGATTTCGGTGAAACAAGCACTATTAGGTAGGGTTGTCGGTTCTGGACCGAACCGAAGAAAGGATTTTTCGGTTCGGGTTTTTTGTTCGGTTTCGGATATCCAAAGAATTTCCAGGAACCGACAACCCTGTTATATAAGTACGACATGTAATATGGAGCACTAACACTCCCTGAAATACGAGCTGGGTTTCTGTGAATCTACATAAATAATGAAACCCCCCTTTCCGTGGCGCTGCCTCCCCGAAAAGTTATCCTCTTAGCCCATCTCTCCCGTCGGGGAACAACCCCTACCTGTGACGCTTTTAAGAAATTTACTTTTTTTATTTCAAAAAATTTTTAGCCAACTTTCAATTTTGCTTTATATAGAGGCTTTTGATATTTTTGAAGTAAAGTCAAATATATTTATGGAAAAACTAGAAGAATTAGATATTTATAGTAATGATTTTGTTGTTGAATTTACTCACAATAATTGTGTATATTGTAAGAATTATTAAATTATATTAATTTAATCATTCCCGCTAATTCCCAGTATTTTCCTCGGCTTTTGGGCCGAGGAGGGAATTATTATAAAAATATATGTATATCATTCGAGTCACTTGATATAACCCCCTATGTGGACTCCTCATCAGAGGTAATCGGAAATTCAGAAGGTGCCAGAAATCGGAACTTGGAAATCGGAACTTGGAAATCGGAAGTCGGAACTTGGAAGTCAGCCTAAATTTTCGGAACGCGGAACTTGGAAATCAGCCTAAATTTTCGGAACGCGGAACTTGGAAATCAGCCTAAATTTTCGGAACGCGGAACTTGGAAATCAGCCTAAATTTTCGGAAATCAGTCTAAATTTTCGGAAATCGGAACTCGGAATTAAGCTTCAAAAATTATGGAAATCGGAAATTTTTCCAAAACTTCGGAAATCGGAAGGAAAAAAACGTTGGAAATCGGAATTCTGATTCTCCTCTGCTCCTTTTGTTCCACTGTTCAATTTAAGTTCAAAACTTTTTCAAATTCAAGGAAAATTTGATAAAATTATAATTAAATTTTAAATTAAAGCACGCAGCCAAATGTTAAAGCCTTTGAGAGCAGCCGAACGTGAAAATGATATTATTTACCCAGCTAATTTTAGAGTTTTAACTGACACTTTTAATGTTATTCAACCATTTTTGCTTATAATTTTTTATTATCCTATACGTAAATTTTTTTTTAATCTGAAAATTTTTTAAATTTAATTTTTAAAGTTCCAAGTGGACAAACAGAATTAACAATACCAGAATGCTATGAAATTATAAATAAAAGCTGTAATATTTTTAAAAATTAATTCTCCCCTCTTCCTTTATTTTAAATCTTAAATTTTTGTTTAGCTTAGAAATTAACGAATTTTTTCAAATATTTGAAAAGTTTATTTAGCAAGTAGGGTTCTTCGGTTCTGAACCGAACCGAAGAACCGAGGATTTTCAGTTCGGTTTCAGATATCCAAAGAATTCCCAGGAACCGACAACCCTGTTAGCAAGGATTAGGAATGCGTTATTAATGCTAATAATCTACTAAACTAAAAATCTAATAATTTTTATTTGACAATCTTTTATAATTAAAGAACGGACATGAGTTAAATTTGATCGATTCAATCCCTTTATATCTGTTTAATACCCACTAATCCCCATATAGTATCTCCTTAATCAACCAGAAGTGGGTCGAAACAGCCAGAGGTGTCGGAAATAGGAAGAGCCGGAAATCGGTACTGGCTCAAAAGTCGGAACTCGGAAATCAAAATTTTTTTCGGAAATCGAAAGGAAAAAACGCCGGAAATCACAAGTCGGACATCGGAAATCCGACCCACCTCTGCTGTTTACCGAAGAATCTTGTGAAACCGACAACCCTATTTGATCGAGATTTCGAAAAATATCGATCTCGTCGGACAAGATTTTGTAGGATTTAATTAGGAATTGGGCGCTCCGACTCGGGCACAGTGATCCATTTGCACAGTAAGTCAATTGCACAGAGGGCATCTACACGGCTACCCTACAAAACATATTTTTTTAAAACAGCAAACGCTCAAAACATCTAGACGACTAAAAAGGCTCAAAATATATTCGCTCAAAACATCAAACGCTCAAAATATCTAGACGGCTAAAAAGGCTCAAAATATCAAAATATTTTTTGATTAAAAGGGACAGTTGAGTCCAATATTTCTTCCTTGTATCAGGGGTGAATAATGTAGTATCTCAGGACCAATTTTGCATGAACTCGACGTGTTGAGAAAGGGCTCGACGAGCTGAGTTGAATGACACCAAAATCAGCTCGATTGGATGATTGTGAACAAAGTTATGACCAACTGAATCTTCGCTGGAAAAACTGTTTTTGTGCTGCTACGGAGGGTAGGCCGGGCATGGTCTTCGCTACACGATGGCTTCGCTACACGACGGTCTTCGCTACACGACGGTCGTGCTCGCTTCGCTCGCGGCGACCGTAGCGAAGCGGCGGCCGTCGTTCCGCTCGACATGCCCGGCTTCCTCCGCAGCGGCAAAATTTTTTTCCGCGGACTCAACTGTCCCCTTTAAATGAAAAATATATTTTGATATTTTGAGCGTTTGATGTTTTGAGCGAATATATTTTGAGCCTTTTTAGTCGTCTAGATGTTTTGAGCGTTTTTACCCGTCTAGATATTTTTAGCGTTTTTAGTCGTCTAGATATTTTAAGCGTTTGATGTTTTGAGCGGGCACGATCTACACAGTAGACAATTGCACAGTAATTTGTGGTTAAGCGGATTCGTGTTAGATTTTACTTATTGTTATAAGGGAATAAAATGTTATTAATTATTAGAGATTGGACCGAACGATTTTTTTCGATATTTTTGACACCGAAAAAATATTATCGAAAATATCGACTGAGAAAATTTTGACTTTTTCGATATTTTTCGGTATTCGTTATTTATCGAAAACTATCGACCGACCTCTTCAGCGATCTCTACCTTTTCCAAAAATATGATTTCTGAGAAAAATCTTTAAAATACAAAAAGAATCAAACGAACAAATAATTAACTGAACATAATAATTGCCCCGAGTATTAACAACATTTTTTAAACAGGAAAGATTTTTTTGGATCCTCCTTTTAAAAAATCTGATTTCTGATGCACTGTACTTATTTAATAAAATCTAAAAAATGTGATTGGACTTATGTATAAAATTCCTGTGGACTCATACAAAACGCAGTCTCGCCCTTGGCGTCTTCAGTAAAGTGCCTGTCCCGTAAGAAATTTTTTAAAAATGTGAAAAGGTGTTTATCCGATAGAGCAGACTCAGAACTATAAGGCGGTACCTAACCAAAAATTCTCAAATGCGGAGATCCTTTAGAACATACTCTAACAGATGATTCGCAATAAAAATAAAAAATAATTTCTAAAAACTTAATTTTAAAATCAAAAAAATCCAAATTAAAAAAGCGACACTAATTATGACCCGACCTAATGATAATTAATAACATTTTATTCCCTTATAACAATAAGTAAAATCTAACACGAATCCACTTAACCACAAATTACTGTGCAATTGTCTACTGTGCAGATGCCCTCTGTGCAAAAGTCTTACTGTGCAAATGGATCACTGTGCCCGAGTCGTGTCACCAGGAAGGGGGAAGAGGACAGAATAATATACCGTAAAATTTTAATTAAAGGGACTATTGAAAATGGTACTAGAGAGGTCACTCCATTTTATGTTTTTTATTATAATATTGAGGCAAATATTCAAAATAAACTTCAACAAGGAATTGTTAATCCCTTTTTAATTGCTGAGATTAGAGAAGAAAATAAAAAACCAGAATCAAGAGAATATGAAGAGGATACTACATTTTTAAAAGCTGAAGAGGGTAAAGATGTTCCTCCACAATTACGTGACGGAATTATGAAAAAAGTAAATTAAAATAAAATATAAAATGGTCTAGAGGGAAATTCGAGAACTAAGCGGACTTAGATTAATAAGGCGGATAAAGGGCAGGTTGCAAAGTGTAATCAGTGAGAAACCGGCGTGAACCCCTCCTATAGAAAAGATGTTATAATCCGAAGGGAAAAAAAAAAGAGAAATCGCCTTCAGTCGGCCTGGACTGTGAATCGAATTAAGCTAGTTGACGATCATTCCAACTAAGCTCTATTTCATCTTTGTGTTCGATCAGCCTAGTGCTAGATCAAGCAGTATACCGAATAGAGGTCGGCAAAATCGTGTTTGCAGGATCCAGCATCTGGGATTTTTTAAAAATCTTTGCGGGATGGGATCCCGCGGGATAAATCCTGCACTCCCGCAAAATCCCGCAAATGGAAAAAAGTGCGGGATTACGGGACGGGATCCCGCGCCCACCTTTAATACCAAACCATTAACCAGCTACTTAGCTTTAGCATCTCTGGGAATAATGTATACATCTTCCACCTCCAATTACTCCTCCCTAAATAGCCAGAGCTCCTATTTAACTATAATAAGAGCGAGGTAAAAGTTTAATCCCTGGAAGGCTTCGATCCTACGACCTCCTGGTATCGTTAGGCGCTTTCGCTCCCCGAGTACAAGTGCTCTACCAACTGAGCTGCTTTACTGTATTTAAAATAACTTTATACTTTTGGAACATCTACAATTTATTATTTTGGCCGTGCAATTTTACCACTAATTTTACCACTAAATATAAATAAAATTTTTTAATTTCTAAAAAAATTTTTTTTCTAAAGATTATTAAAGAATGTAGAGCAATTATTAAAGGGAATAAAGGACAAAAACAAACTAAAGAAAAATATGTACATAAAGGAAGTGGAAGCGGACAAGGAGGAAGTGATTTATCAACGGGTTTTTAGGGGGCTGGTCTTTAACTAACGGGGATTTTATTTATTATCAAAGAAGAAGTAAATTTTCAAACATTTTTTTAAAGAAACAAAAGTATTTATTAGGGATAGTAATATTTTATTTAATTTTCCCTTTTCTTGAATTTTTCTTCATTTTGTGAAAAAAATTTTTTTATGTAGTTTACTAATCTACTGTTATGTTATTTAATGGGGCTGTGAATTATATAGAAATATTTTTTCCTGTATTACTTACAACATGTATTTTGTGTACGCTTTAGATCCTAAGCAACACAGGAAAAAATATTTATTGGAATCGGAAATTCTGATTTGTAATTTTTATTTGTATTTTCTGATTTGTAAATTCTGATAAATTACCGAAATCAGAAAAGTATCCTTAGAATTTACAAATCAGAATATTCATATACATATCGGAAATTTATAAATTACAATTTGTAAATTCTGATTTGTAACATTTAATTTCTTCTTCTGGTTTGTAATTTTTCTGATAATTGTAATTTTAATATCAGAATTAAAAATTACAATTTGTAATTCTGATTTTTAATTATAATTTTAATATCAGAATTAAAAATTACAATTTGTAATTCTGATTTTTAATTATAATTTTAATATCAGAATTAAAAATTACAATTTGTAATTCTGATTTTTAATTATAATTTTAATATCAGAATTAAAAATTACAATTTGTAATTCTGATTTTTAATTATAATTTTAATATCAGAATTAAAAATTACAATTTGTAATTCTGATTTTTAATTATAATTTTAATATCAGAATTAAAAATTACAATTTGTAATTCTGATTTTTAATTATAATTTTAATATCAGAATTAAAAATTACAATTTGTAATTCTGATTTTTAATTATAATTTTAATATCAGAATTAAAAATTACAATTTGTAATTCTGATTTTTAATTATAATTTTAATATCAGAATTAAAAATTACAATTTGTAATTCTGATTTTTAATTATAATTTTAATATCAGAATTAAAAATTACAATTTGTAATTCTGATTTTTAATTGTAATTTTTAATTGTTTGAAATTTATTGGTTTTTCTGATTTAGAAATTACAAATTATAAATTCTGATTTGCATTTTTAATTGTAATTTTTAACTGTTTCTTTTTACAACTTTAAATAAAATGACTCACTATTTCGACTTATATCTTTATTATTATTTTGTTGAATTAATTTTCCATTTTGAGAAGGATTATGTCTAGTATTTGGTATGGTAGAATTATTATTGTTGTTATTAAAAGGTTGGGAACGTGGAATTGGTTTGGCCGAGCTGCTTCGCATTTTTGAAGTATTCGAGTGGATGGTTTTGCTTGAAAAAAAATTTTCTTCAGAGAAAAAATTTTTTTTTGAAAATTTTTTTGGAAATCGTAAAAATTAAAAAAAATTTTTTTTCATATTTTTTTCGAAATTTTTTTTCAAAAAATTTGTTTTTCTCAAAAAATTTTTTTTCACAAAAAAAATTTTTTTTCAATAAAAAAAGGGGAGAATTTCAATAAATTGAAATTATAGTTAAATTCCCATGGTTACTCCAAAAATAAATTTTTTTTAAAACATTTTTCAAGTTTCCATAATTTTTCAACTTTTATTGATTTTTATTAAAAAATTTTTTTAATTTTATTTTTGTTAAAAAATAAATAGAGGAGTGTTCGCGACAATTTCTGTCCTCAATCACTTGCCCAAAAAATAATCTAAGGGAGAGGAACATATTTACTCTTTAGTGGTGGAGTGAGGAAAAATAAAAATATACGAGAGCAAAAACTAATAAATAAAAAAAATTGGTAGAACAAATAATATTGAAAAAATAAAATTAAAAAAAATTTATGAACGATTAAAAAAATAATTTGTAGATAAAATATTGTATAGTAGTTGTTGCGGTTGGGGGGGGGGGGGAGGGGTTGTTTGGTTATGAAATATTCCTATTGACCAGAATTCTGATTTTGTAATTGTAATTAATTATAAAAAATAAGAATTCATATAATTCTGATTTGTTTTTCTGGTTTTTAATTCTGATTTTTAATTCTGATTTGTAAATTCTGTTTGGTAAATTCTGATTTTTTATTCTGATTTCAAATTCTGGTTTTTAATTTTGATTTTTCAATTCTGATTTTAAATTCTGATCTGTAAATTCTGGTTGGGAAATTCTGATTTTTATCCGATTTGTAAAATTCTGATTTCAAATTTTAGTTTGTAAATTCTGTTTTCTAATTCTGATTTCCAATTCTGATTTTTAAATTCTGTTTTTTAATTCTGATTTCAAATTCTGATTTCTTAATTCTTTTTTTTAATTCTGTTTTTTAATTCTGATTTCATAATTCTGATTTTTAATTCTGATTTGTAAATTCTGATTTTTGCTTCTGATTTGTAAATTCTGGTTTTTAATTCTGATTTGTAAATTCTGATTTTTAATTCTGATTTGTAAATTCTGATTTGTAAGTTCTGATTTTTAAATTCTGATTTGTAAATTCTGATTTTTGCTTCTGATTTGTAAATTCTGATTTTTTAATTCTGATTTGTAAATTCTGATTTTTTAATTCTGATTTGTAAATTCCGATTTCTAATTCTTATTTGTAAATTCTGATTTCTAATTCTGGTTTGGAAATTCTGATTTGTAAAATTTGATTTTAAATTCTGATTTTTAATTCTTGTTTGTAAATTCTGATTTTTTAATTCTGATTTTTTAATTTTTAAATTTTAATTTGTAAATTCTGATTTACATTTGTAAACTATCTTAACTCAACCAGAATTAATGACTGAGGTTAGAGTAAAAAAATATAACACAATTTAAAGAGAATTAAATTCATTACAAATAAATGAGACAATTATTAAAAGCATAATAAAATTTACAGGTGGTCAATTATTAAATAAAGACACCCACTTAAGGCTAATTCATACTAAAAGGTTGTCAATAAAAAAAATAAAATGGGGATGTAAATATTTTTTGCATGAAAGTAGAGAGGGAATCGATGGAAAAAAAATTTTTTTTTTACTTTCCAGAAAGGCACAAAAAATGTAAAAATGGCGCAGACTGGCCAAGTCTTTTGCTTCTTCCCCTAAAGGCGTCGGGAAGCGAGCAATATATTTATTTTATAAAATATATGGATGTTTACGTAAATATGTGGATGGACACTTTTTTTTGTTTTTTAAGAGGACCTTTTATTTTTCGATGAAATAAAAGGGGTTCTTGTGATTTACTCAAAATTGGATTTTTTTAATAATAAAATAATAAATCTGGAAAGATTTATAGAGAAGTTGGAAGTTATTTAAAATATTTTTTAATAAAAAAAATATTTTTTAAGCCAATATGTCATGGATTGGCCTGCCTGGTAAGGTTGGCGGATAGTTGGAAATCTTCGGATACCCGGATCCAGAACCGATATCTGAACCAAAATTTCCGGATATCCGGCCTTTTTTCGGATCCGGATATCAGGATCCGCCAATCTTACTGCCTAGAGCTTCGCTGGACGTTCCGGTTCCATTTCCGTTAGGCTGGAAGTTCCGGAATTTTTTGGTTCTGGTTCTGGTTCCGGCCAAATTTGAGGTCTGATGAAGCACTAAGCCTGACGATTTTAAAAACGGAAGGCCTAAGAAAGCGGAAGGCAAAATAAAAAGTACAAGAAGAAACGCGAAAGCCCATCCTACTAAAAATTAGATCCACTAAATATCTACTAAAATTATTACTAAAAATTATAAGAAGAAATTGATTTAAAAAAGATTTATTAGTATTTAAATAAGGAATAGAAATATTTATGATGAGAAAAAGCAAATGAGAAAGCTTCTGGATTGTACTAATTGAAAGCATATATAATAGTATGTTTGTATAGGGGAGAGATAGTTGCGCGCATTTAAGTGCGCGAAAAAAAAAGGATGAAAGAAACGAGGGAATTATTAAAAGAAGAAAAAGAAGCTTAAAAATTAAAGAAAAAGTTGGGGCACTTAAGTTTGTATTTATTAAAACTTGTTTCGCTTTTAAAACTTTTAATTTTTTATGACGGGATGAAAGAGTTCCTTCATTGAGACATTTTATGTTCAGAATTAAAAAGAATCAGAATTCTGGTTGGAATAGAATAAATAAATTTAAAAAATCAGAATTTCAGAATTTTTGTAAAATTAAAAATCAGAATTTACCTGAAAAATCAGAATTTTTAAACCAGAATTTAAATCAGAATTTACCAGACTTACCTAAATTAAACCAGAGTCTTTAAAAAATCAGAATATTAAATCAGAATTTTTAGACCAGAATTTTAAAAATTAGAATAAACCAGAATTTCGAATTAGAATTAAAATCAGAATTTATCAGACTTGAATTAAATCAGAATTTTTTAAATCAGAATTTTAAAAGGTCAGGATAAACCAGAATTTGGAATCAGAATTATTAAATCAGAATTTTAAATCAGAATTTCTGTAAAAATAAACTTTATTCTGTTTAACCAAGTTTAAACTTAAAATTTTAAGTGTGACCTAATATTAAATAATATTTTTTGCTCTTTTGAGATCAATTTTTAAGCAGTATTTTAAAGTTTAGGATGATAATAGGAATAAAAAGAAAAATTTAAAAATTGGCAGAAAAGAGAGAAGAATGCCCTAAGGGATTTGTTTGTCAACTAGGAGATTTTTCTTCCAATTTGGCAGCATTTTTGTTTGTGTCCCCCCTTCCTCATTCTGTTCCACACACAAAACCATTTAAGTTTTATACCCAAATTTTACACCAAAATGAGCACACAAATATATAAATTTTGGATAGATTTTGGACATATAGCTAATGAGCATTTTCTCTCTCGTTTTTTTGTTTGTTTTACTTTTTAAGGAAATTTTTAGGAAAAGAAAAATTATTTCTGTGATATAATATGCTTGTGTATATCTTAACTTATCCCCTCTCAAATTTTCTAATCTCCTACTTATCACAACAGAAGGGGAGAAGAAAGGAATGCCCCTTATATAAACAACCTTATCCCTTCCCTAATTATCCCTTCCCTAATAACTTCCCTAAGCAATCCCTTAATTATTATTTGGATTTGGTATAAGATAGAAGCGTAATAAGAAAGAGATTATATGTGACCTAAGGTATGATAAGCTAGAGAGTGTGTGACTTTGGCTGTGAGAGAAGACAGAAATATCCGTTGTTAGAAGTGATAAAAGTAATAGGCTGCTCTCAGTAATAGGGTGTGGTAAGACAGAGATCTCAGGTCCTAAGGTGTGATAAGATAAGTATCTCAGTTCCCATATGTGTTAACCCCCGCTAGTAGTAGACTGCCGCTATAAGTTCCTCTCCCTTACCGCCAGTCCTAACGGGTAATACAATAATTTTTAAAAAAACTGGCTACCTTTCTCGATACAAATTTGGCATTCGACTTCTATCAGAACATTCACTTGATGTTTTATCCTCGTCATCTTCGTTGTGTTTAATTGAATTTCTGCTTGAATCTTTACTCGAATTATCATTTATTGGTGTTGGAGTCCCCCCATTTTTGCCTCTACTAATTGCTAAAGATGCACGTCTTTGACTTGCGATTCTTAATTCTCGAAAACGTTCTTTGTCTGATTGTTCTTCGGGAACGATAAATGCTGCTAGACCGCTGAAAGTATTGAAGGGGATTTATGAAAGAAATTAAAAATGTAGGGGGAGGGGGGGGGGTATTCTTCATTTTAGCTTTCAGAAATTGTTCTAAGGGATTCCCATTATAGGAGAGGAGATTCTCGAGTAATCCTCTCCTATGTATTCTCTCCGCAAGTAATCCTCTCTATAGTGTCCAAAGCAATAAGTGTATCAGACGGATTAACAGAAGCTCGAACTTGGACTTTTTCCACCCTATTTCAAAACCAGTTTCATCCCTGAAGAGACCCTCCTTTAGGGAAGCTTAATATCGAAGTTTGAAACTGAACTTCGAATGGCCGATTTTAAGATGGTTTTGAGCTATACTAGAATTTCTTTACTTGGATGTGGTAAGATAGAGATTTCAGATAGGGAACTCAGATTCATTTCAGAATGACCTCTTAATTTTTTGAATACCTGAAAGTCTTAGCTACAGAACCCAAAGATGTAATACTCAATCTAGGCAAAGAATGCCGATTCCCTGGAAGATTTGAACCAAAATTAAAAGAGTAGGAAGAGGGTAAAGCATTGTGACTAGCTGTAGATGCACGCCTTCGACTTGCAATAAAAGGAAATGGTTGGGGACGAGGACGAGGCATTTCTGTTTGGGTAGAGGTTGTTGATTGAGTTTGTTGTTGTTGTTCTGTTTCTTTTTCGTTGTTGTTAAGGTTGGTAGATGTCTGTTATTAATTTTTAAATGAGATTTCTAAATTTTACGTTGAATAAAAGCCGACCAATACACATATATTTGGCTAAGTCCAAGGAGTGGGGTTATGAAACCTATGGAGTTAGATCCCGTTAGAGACTATAACGAGAGTCAACTGTCTTTTTATACGAAGGTATTTAAATAAATCTTTTCTGCATTATCAAGTTCAAGCTTAAAACTGGTTTGTAAATATAAGGTCAATTATGTTCCCTCCTTAGCCTAGTTGATGGACATAACGAAAACTACTAGGCAATCCTTAATTTATCATAAAAATTACATCGTCTTCTTGTTGTTGTAATTCTTCCACCTTCTCTTCTTCTTCAACCTTTGGAGAATTTATTTTGGGTTGATTAGCTTCTCTAGAAGAATATTCAAAAATTTGAGGTATTGCTGGAGTAACTCTAATAATTGGTGGAGATGCGGGCAATAAAGAATTGGAAGGAGTAAATGGAGGTCTAAAAATGGGGAAAAATTTATGGAAAAATAAAATTATGAAAAAAAGCTTTTTAAAAAATGGAATTTAAAATGAATTTTTAAAAATGGGTATTTTTCTATTTTTATTTTTTTTTGTTACCAAAAAATTTTATTTCACGCTTGTATGGTTAGGTTGCGAAAAATAAGCTTTAATATTGTAGCTATTTTTAAGTTTAAGCTTAAGTTTAATTTTTTTAAGTTTGTGCTTAAAACTTGATTATTAAAGTTCAAACTTGAATTTTATGTTTATTCTTAACTTTTAAAACTTGTTTTCAAGCTTGAACTTAAGACATAATTTAAGATCAAGTTTTAAACTATTTTTAAGCTTATGCTTAAAACTTGCTTTTTAAGTTTATACTTAAAACTTGATTTTAAGAATAATTCGAATTTATTTTTAAGTTTAAGCTTAAAAACTTAATTTTTTTTTAAGTTAGTGTATATCTAATATGAATGGGGGGGTATACCAGGAATTAGGGATAGGGTTATTGGAGGGCTATACCAGGGGTATAGAAAATAGTAGAAATACACAATAAAAGCAAGGAAAAAATTTTTTAAAATTAGCCAGATTGTAGAAATTAAAATAAAAATGTAAATTTGTGGAAGTGCCATAGCCAAAAGGAGACGAAAAAAATAAAAACCACACGTGAATTGAAGCGAAACTTTTTTAAAAAGAAGGAAATAAATATTTTGGCTCTTTAGGGAAAGTAAAGAAAATTTTTGTTTCATTCCGTTTATAACTAAAATTAGGTTACCTAAATTAAACTAAATGAGTATTTAAATTTGGGAATTTTTAAGAATTTTAAATTTAGTTTTTGGTCTTTTTCTATGACAAAAAGGAGGCTAAAACAGAGGTTTAAAAGATTTGAGGGTTTAAAAAATTAACAAAAAATAGGCTTCAAAAATAGGCTTATTGGAACAGCCTTCTTTGCTTTAAGCGGTCTTTAGGCCAAAATTTTATATTTAAAATAGCATGATCTTCATCTTAGTCTTAACTTGCAGAAATTCAATTCTCTATCGAATGGGACCAAGATCAAAAGATAATAACTGAATAGTCGATTTATTACTGAGTTATGGAGTAAAAACTAGATCATGTCTGCATCCTTACTACCCAAGCAGTCTTTTGCCTAAAAATTTTTTTAAATGAAGAATTTTTTTAGTTTAATTTTATTCTTAAAAAATTCAATTAATTCTCTATCGAATGATACTAAGATTACATATAAAGGGCCATTTAACACTGAGTTACAGGGCAAGAACCAACTCGGATCAACGTCCCCAGTTTCTCCACATTTAATAAAAATTCTTTTTCAAATCCTTACCTAAACCTAGCAACTTGTTCCTGTACAGCATTCTGCAACTTATCCATCATTAAAGCATTTTTTGTCAACTCCTCAGAATTTGAAGAAATATTGCTTGCAGAAGCTGAGTGTCCTCCACACCTTGCTAATTTTATTTTTGAGGGAAGTTCCTCCATAATAAAATTTTTTTTAAATTATTTAAAATTAAATTAATTTATTTTTGGCAATTTTAAAGTTATTTTGAATCCAAATTTGGTCAGTATTTATATTCCTCATTTAATTCTAAATCGAGGGTTGTCAACATTTTATAGCGGAAATTAAAACTAAACTGCCTAAAATATTTAATTAAAATGGTTATAGCTAACTAATAAAAAATAAAAAAAGGACACATCTGTTAGGGCTTAATTTAAAGTTTTGAAGAGGAAACTTTATCGAGAATAATGAACAAAAATTGGATGGACCAAAATTGGGCTCCATATAATTTTGTGCATTTTGTATTGTCGGTTCTGGGTCGATCCCCGTCCCTCCCTTCTCCAGTCCGCTTTCTCGAAAAACATTCCCTTTGCTCCGTGCCCCCCCCCCCCCACGTCGGGGACCAACCCCAATCGGTTATTGAATAATCTTCGATGTCATGAGACGATCCTAAAACCTTCGGAACGACAAGCTTCTGAAGCCTTTAGATTCAATCACAAAAATAAAAAAATATTTATTTACATAATTTATTAATAAATGCAAGGAAAAATAAATAAAAGTCAAATTTGGAGGGATTCAATGTTCATAATAAAGAGATGAATTGAGGAGTCATACAGGAACCTCTCTCAAAAAACCCCGAAAGATTCCAGGGGTTAAGACAAGGAACCTTTATATTTTTTTAACTAAGATCAGTTAATAGAAATACATATTTTTAAATTTTACAAAGTACAAAATAATCTTTTTTGGCATTTATCTCTCAAAGAATTTAGTAAGGAACAAGGTTCTGAATTTTTGGGCCAATATTCTTCAGAGACAATTGTTCCATTGGCATATTCTCGAATATTGAGCATTTGTTGATCTGTTGATTCTGTCAGGGTTACCATACTTTGAATGCTAAAAAAGAGAGATTAAAGAATTTTTTAAAGACTTAGAGGTTCCAAGGTTCGGGTATAAGAGCGAATACCTAAACAAGGACATAGCGCCTCTAGTTTCTGTGAAAACGGATCATAAGGACAAAACTATTTCCAATATTATTTAACACGCTGATCTGCAAGTGCGGATACAACCAGAGGTCGATCGGAATTCCAATTTCAGGCACCTTCTCATATCCGATAGACCTCTGGACAGAGGATAAAAGGCATGAATGGGCCCATGAAAAAGTCGTTTATATGGAAAGTATATAATAATATAGGGAACGGATCCGGATCAGAAAAAGGGTCGGATATCCGGAAATTTTCGGTTCGGATCTGGATAACCGAAGATTTCCAACTATCCGCCCTTACTCAAGACCCAAGATAAAGTAGCTAAAAAATGTAAGTAATCCTTAGAAAAACTTAAGAGTGGGAAAGGTTGCTGAAACTCTAGAGTAACTGATTTGATATTGGTGGGATGCCGCGCCCTGATTAAAAATTTTCTCCCATAATCACTCAAGAAACATTTAAAAAAGGCTTCCTTACGTTGAGATCCCTCCCGAATTTTTGTAAAAAGCATATTCAGCTTTTCCCTGTTTATTAGCCTGTACAGAATATGAGAGTTGTAAATCCATAGCAATTCTGTGCATTCCATACAGCACCAAAGATTCAGCTAAAGATTCGGCCAAATGATGTTCATTAATTAACTGCTGCTGTTTTAACGAAAAATTTTCTTGGCGGGGAATTTTGGGTAGAGAAGGTTGTCTGTCATTTGTAGAAACAGTTGGAAACATTTTATTATTTAGTGAAGATGCTGTTTCAGCTAAGACTTGAAGAGGGGTAGAGGGAGGTTCTGATGTTGAGGGTGTTGGTGTAGCTAAAAGTGTAGCTGAAGTGAGGCCACTTTTGCGTTTTTGTACCTATAAAGGGGGGTTAAAATGAATTTTTAAATTCTCTTAATTTTTAGAAATTTTTTTTTGAATTTTTCAATTGAAAAAAATTTTTTTTAAGGTTTGGCGTTTTTTGCGCACACTCAAGTTTTTTTAAATGTTTAAATTAATTTCTCACAGTTTTAGTTGTTGGCGCGTGTTTATTTAAATCAGAAAAACATTGCTTGTTCATTTGTTGTTCTGATTGTGTTTGGGAAAACAAAACTTGTTGTAATGCTGTAGCAAATGTTTCTGATGTTGTTTGTTGTTGTTGAAATGTTTGTGGAGGGAAAGAATTGATGTTTTGTTGAGAGATGTTTTGTTGAGAAATGTTTTGTTGGGGAATGTTTTGTTGGGAAAGGGTTTGTTGGTTTTGTTGTTTGGAAATGTTTGTTTTGGATGTTTTTGTTGTTAAATTATTTTTATTTCCATTCAAAACATGTTCATCCAAACATTGTTTATGTTGTTTGTTTATTTCTTGTTCTGATTGTTTTAATGATGTTTGTTGTTGTTGTGCTCTCTGCACTGCTGCCATCCATTCCAAGTTACACAGCCAAGTTGCAAAAGCTTGTTGTTGTTGAAAATTCTGATTTATATTTGTTGAGTTAAAATTCTGATTTTGTTGTTGAAACAATTCTGAAGCAGCAAACAAGGCAAACATTTCATTTAATGTTTGTTGTTGCAAAACCTGTTGTTCATTTGTTTGTGTGTTTCTCTGCTGTAATTGTTGAAGCATTGCACTATTTTCGAGTTGTTGCAATTGCGATAGTTGGTTTATTGCAGCAGCCTAGAAAAAAATATTTTTAAGGGGTAAAAAATTTTTTCTTTCTTACAGTTTCTAGCCTCGCAAGAATTTGAGGGTCAAAAGGCAAATTTTGTTGTTGAGTCATTTCAAAATTTAAATTATTAATTGAATGTAGAGGTGCTTCAGAACCGTGTATTGGAGACAATTTGCCTTCTTTTTGTTGCTG